CTTTCTGAAATGGGTGAGTTTGCGCGTGGGCTCTTTAAGAGCCGGTTTTAATGTCTTTGTGAACCAGCTTTGCTGGGGGTGCTCCCCAATGTTTTAGTAGCAGGCAAAGTCAGATATTATGCCACTCGTCTCGATTGTGCTGGGTCCACAAAATGCCCACAGCGGGGGTGCTCCCCCGCTCAGGGCCCTGCTCCTCCAGGGAGGCTGCGGACCTTTGGGCTGCTCCCGGGCAGCCGTGAGGCACTGCGGCTTGTGAAGGCGGCGTTTTTCCTCTCCAGAAAGGAGTTTCTGCCTCTTCCACCTCAATTAGGATTGTGCTTTGTTGCAGGAGTTCCTCTTATCCAGGTTTCAGTTCTGTCTCACGGGTAATTTTTCCTTGAGTAGTTGTAAATTGGCTGTGTCCACGGGAGGAGGTGAGTTCAGAGTCTGCCTACGCCACCATCTTGACTTCTTGGGATCAGTAATAGTGCTTTAAAATGCACACCAAAAAATCCTTGAAAGACACACACTAGAGTATTCCGGGAAGATGGTGTAGTAGAAAGTACCAGGGATCTGTCTCCCTGCCTAGACAACAATTGCTCTGGCAGCCTCTGTCTGATGTAATGATTTTGTGACTAGAGTCTGTTGAAGGCATGCAACTTCTAGCTGAAGGCTTGGTTAATTTTGGGTATCTATGACCTTAAACTGGTTAAGATGGTCAATTTTACATGTGTATTTTACCACAATAAAAAGTTGGAAAAAACACAAAATACGCATATTGTTTTTTGTTGTATAGGTGTATTATGAATGGCTAGTCTCTTTTTTGTTTTTTATTTCCAAATTGAGATAATATTCATTTTAATAATGAAATCACTAAAGAGCATATATTGCAAGTTGCTTCCTTCTCTCTCCTGTATTTTAAGGCCTAAAATTTCATGTGTTGTCAATAATTTGAGCCTCACAGGGTCCCAAAGCCCTACCCATGAGTTCCTCTGCTCTAACCAGATATGCCCCGCTCCCAGCAGAAAAGGCTCCCAACCAGCTAGTTCCCATATCAGCCAGACCAGCTGCACCCCACTCGGTCCTCGAGCTGATGGGCTTCACCTCCCTACCAGCCCACAATGTTATTCAAGCCAGCCAGTCACATCTTCCCCTGGAAATCACGGGGCACCTTGTCCTCTTGTTACCACAAAGCCTGCCTCCCACAGCCCCTGCTGGTTTACTCTGCTCCCAAGTGCAACCACCCTTTGACATGTGGTGTCCTACCCCAGGATGTGAGGATGTGCGACTAAGAAACTGCTGTTCATCTAATTTATCTAGTGTCTGGATGTCGTGTGTTCAGGCATCTCCAGAACCCTAGGGTGGGACTCCCTCTGTCACCAGGACAGTGAAAGGGGAGGCCAGCAAAACACCTTGCTACTCATTTGTATTGCCATTTCATGAGCTTTCTGTGTCCACACTGCATAGGAGTTTTGTAGAACTCAAACTTCAAATAGAGGTGTTGGATTCTGTTCTGAGCCTAGTTTTTATGTGTGGTCTGAAGTTGAGCTACCCAGAATTATCTTAGGAATATGTCTGTGATGGAAATTTCATTTTGCTGAGTCTGTAAACCTAAGAGGAATGTTATTACACTGTTGTCCTATTTGTAAGACAGATGAGGCTAAAATTACAGGTATAGAACCCTTACTGAACTTGACCCAAAGGGAAAAAGACTGAGATGATTTTTCAGGTTGGGAGAAAGTGGAGCATTAGAGTAAGAAGAACTGAGAGTCAAAATGAGTGGTGTTGGTTGAGGAAAGAGACACTCATACACTGGTATGAAAAGGTAAAATGGTATGATCACGCTAAGGAGAAATTTGTCAACAGCACAAGTTAAGATTCAGAGAGCTACTCCACTTTTCAGAATTTAACTTACATATAAACCTACAAATAAGCAAACTGATGTTCATGTAGGGATATTAATTACAGCATTGCTTTTAAGGAAACATAGGACATTCCTTAATATACATTATTAGAAAACTTGTTTCTTCAACTAGGGTGCAGCCATACGTTGGCCTTTGGCAGCTGTTGGAAAGGATGACACTGATTTTTTTTTCGTGAGGAAGATCAGCCCTGAGCTAACATCTGATGTCAGTCCTCTTTTTGCTGGGGAAGATTGGCGCTGGGCTAACATCCATGCCCATCTTCCTCTACTTTATATGGGACGCTGCCACAGCATGGCTTGACAAGCGGTGCCTCGGTGCATGCCCGGGATCCAAACCGGCGACCCCCCACCACTAAAGCAGAGCGGGCGCTCTTACCCGCTGAGCCACCAGGCTGGCCCAGGATGACACTCTTATATACTGATTCGGAAACACTTGTGTGTGAAGAAAAAGAAATATATACGTAAATATGCATATAACATATAAATGTATTTGCAATTATATATGCATATAATATACACATATGTGTACTTATATATATATGTATTGTGTGTATATATACAAATGTGTATATAGAGCAAGGGCATATTTGTATGTGAAAATAACTCTCTGGAAGGATACACACCAAAATCAAAATGTTGTTGACTCTAAGGTGAGCTACTAAATGACTGGGATACGTGTAAGGAGTGGTTGCTTATCTTTTTATTTAAATATTTTAATAACTTTTTAACTGTTATGCATTACATATTTCAAATATGTAATAGTGGTGATAACTGAAATATGGTCATCCTTTGATGACTACCTTAATACTTCCCATTTGCTCAACTTTCTCATGAATCTACATACATATGGACACAATCTTGATTCTTCTGAAAGCACCTTCTTCCCAGATTTTACGCCTGTGGCCACAATTTATCTTACTGTCCAGATGCCTGAGAAGCAAAGTTTTTTTCAATGGGATCTCACGATGAGGAATACAAATTAAAGATGTTTTCAATCTATGGGCGTTTATGCAGTCAAGCCCACCCCATACATAATACAACAGAGAGATCTGAAAAATTTGCTGTAACAAAAATCTGTGGTGGGCATAATATTGTGAAAAAAAGTATTTTTTTCCCTAATTTTCAAACAACTGCTACAGTCAGTGATCTTAAAAAGGACCCAAATTCGCTCTCTCCTGTTCTACAATGAGAAGACGTTATACAGTAGAGACACTTCATCCAGCTTGTGTCACCTGGAAACATGGCTTTGCCACTAAACAGTGTAACTTTGTGCAGGATATGTAACCTCGGTTGACCTCAGAAGGTTCAACTCTAAAATGGAAGTATAATAGTAACATCTGTGACATTTCAGGACAAAGATACGCACATATGTAGTATGATAGCTTATGAACCCATGTTCAGGAGCTTACACTCAGCCAAGCACGGGATGGTCCTCGGTGTCACATCACTGATTCTACAGGGCGGACCCTCACACACAGGCCTGAGACCTCGGAGAAGAAGAGCTCCGTAGGCCCCTTCTCAGAATTCGTGGCCCGGTTCCGCCCAGACTCGCCTCCTCCGGACCCCGACCACCACTGCACGCGTCTCCGCCTTAGGTCGGGGCCTCCAGCATGGCGGAGACCTGCGCCTGCGCAGCCCAGTGCGGGGCCACTCCCAGAAGTCTCCGGGGCTGGGGCTCGGGCTCGGGCTCGGGCTCGGGCTCGGGCGGGGGCGGGCCGCTTCCCTCCCGGACTTAAAAGACCCGAACTCAGCACGTCACCTCCGCCGTTCACAAGGGGACTTCCGTTGCTTGCTGCTTCTCCGTTTCTCTTGGTGCACGCCGCACGTGAGTGGCCCCATCTGAGGAAGAAGTGCGCGTGGGTCGTGCGGAGAAGACTCTGCGGCCGTAGCCGGAAGCCCGCGGGACGGTGAGCGGGGTGAGCGCGGGTCGCCGAGCGGCCGGCGGGGCCGGTCCGCAGCCTCCGGCCTGGGGCGCTGGAGCCGCGCGGGAGGGAGGGGGATCCGAGGGAGGAAGAGGCGGGGAGGGTGAGGGGCCAGGCTGCGTGGGAGGGGTGCGGGGGCCTCGGTGGCGGCGGGGGACGTGGTGAGACCAGGAGAGGCTCGTGTCCTTGTGTGACGGGGACACGGGGTGCGTGTCCGATGTGTGAGCGTGGGTGGCGGTGGCTCTGTGCTGTCATGGGACACAGGGCTCTAGGTCCCTCCTGCCCTCCTCTCAGCCCTCTTCCGCCGCCACGGAGATATGGCTCAGTTGGGAAATCAGATGTTGAGTTCTACGTGACCTTCTGATACGATGGGAATTTAGATCAGGAATTGTCCCCGAGGCAGGCTCCCGGGAACATATGGACAGAGACTCCAAGAACAGAATTCCTTCCTGGGACTGTCCTCCCTGAGGGTTCTCTGGGGTCGTTTACAGATTTGAGAACGACAGCATTCCCTGAGCTCTGAGGGAGGAACCTGCTGTGAGCTCTTATCTAGATTCCACCCTTTTCCTTCATTCTGGTTGTGTGAGGTCACAGCGGGTGCAGCCTTGGAGGGTGGAACATAATAATTGCTCAGCATTGTGTTTATTCTGGATGATTCACCCTTAAGATTTCTGTAGATCGGAAGTGGAAAATATGAAGTTAATGTCATGAGTGCTTGCATGTCTAATTATTAGACAGATGCTCAAGTTTTTGAGAACAAAAGTCCTTTATATGTGTGGGTTTACAGGGCACCACAAACCCCTTGTAGTTGTATGGAGACTTACTGCGTGTATCTGTAAAAATGCGTTTTTCAAGGATGTATATAACCCAAAAGCTTTAGATCTGGGTTTTTGCTCTGCAGTCAAAGATTGTTATACCTTCGGATGGTTTTGCACAAAATTAATGATCAAGATAATGGGAATGCTTAAGAAAATCACTGACATCCATGGGATAGAATATTATGCAGATAATACAATTTCTGTTTATAAGAATTAATCATTATAAGAAAACATGGCTATGACCCAGTGTTAAGCAATGTTTGTATTGTAGGTAATAGTACTTAAGAAAACTGGAAATTATATACGCAGCTCATTTTGAAAAGAGAATTTTGTAAAAACTTTTTGCAAAGATTGTATCCAAAATGATCTTTTAGTCAGTTATTTAGAGAAGAGAGGAAGGAGTTAAGCCACATTTATTATTTTCTATGTACTCAAAAGTTTTCTACTTTTTTGGTATACGTATTCTCATTAATTTGCAAAAGCAATATCCGTTTCCATTAATGTTAAAGTATTTATAGTGAAATGCGTCTTAGTTGTATCAATGCAGTAAAGCTAAAGAATATTCAAGGACAGGTAAGTAGTATTTTTTTCAATCACATTGATTTTTCATGGCAGGTGTCTGGGGAAGAGGGAGAATCTCCCTCTGCCCTTTTCCTTAAGGTTTTTATGGCTGGCCAAATAATTAACAAGACAGGT